AACCCCAAAACCCCAAAACCCCAAAACCCCCATCTATATGATCCCGTCAACCTCATAATAATTATAATAATGGCTATTTATATTTGCTTTAAGAAATTAAAGTAGTATCATCTTAAATCATTAAGTATAACTTTGATCTTATATTTCCTATGTAAAGGTATGTAATGAAATTCTTTTTCCAGCTTCTTGATATCATTCCTACTCATGTCAAGCACCTTGATTGAATCATTTTTTCCTATTATTCCAAAGAGCCCATCATGCTCATTTTCATCCTCCTCTGGGTTATCTGATTCTTTATAATCTAGGATCGCAAGAAGATTAACTGAGCCTTTTTCTCTTATAAAATTATCTGAAATATCTAAATGCTCAAGAATACAGCTCCTTTTGCCAAGATAATGACAAAGTGCCTCGCAACCCTCATCCTTAATAAAATTATTCGATAAGCTTAATGATCTTAAACTAATATTATCAATGAGTCCTTTAGTCAGTTTAATACAGCCATTAGCATGGATGGTGTTATTATTCAAATTAAGTGTTCTTATTGTGCTATTATATCTTAATGCCTCAGATAGTGGCTTCATAGATTTTTCTTCTATTAAGTTATTACTAAGATCCAAATGCAGCAAAGTTGAGTTCAATTTCATACCTTTGCATATTTCAATGACACTATCTAGTTGTAATAGGTTCCATGAAAGATCTAGATTTTAGATTTTAACTCCAATTTCGAGAATTGTTCCTAAATTTTTACAACCAGACTTGCCAATGTCACAACCCTTAAGCATAAGTTCTTAAATATTTGAATGCTTGCCTTTTAACTTAATATTTTCCAAGCATCTAACAGCAAAATTTTCATTTTTACGATTCATATTTTTACCTTTAACTAATGGATGTCACTTTCCTTACATTTCATAGCTTAGGTCCAATGACTCAACATTCTTATTATCCATAATAATCTTTGTTAAAAACAAAATTGACTCCTGGCCAATAGTATTAATAGCAATTTTATAGCGAGATATAGATCTATTGTGAGTTAATGCCTCAAATAACGGAGTGAGTCCTCTATTACAGTCATTGACTGTAATTATCTCTAGCTATTTTACAATTTTGTTTTTCATAAAGAACTGGCCAAGTATCTCAGCCCTCTAATCATACCACATGAACCTCTTAAAACATACTTATGTAATTTGATTATTTAGATTAAAGTCGATAAAGAGTTTTTATACTCCATCAACATCAAGATTTTGTAGTAACTCTATTCTAATGATATCTGGTCTTAATTTGAGGATTTCAATTACCAAATCAATAGCTTTTTACTTTGTTGATGATAACAGCAACGCTTTCTTATCCTCATCTATAATGAAGTATTGCCCCTTCTTGTCCTTAGCTAAGTTGTTAATTATAAACTGGCAAAGCTTGATGTTAATGGCGAGCTAATTTTCTTTATTTAGACATTTAACAAAAAATATCTCTCATTCCTCAAGAAAATCAATGAATAGGTAAAAGACTTTCTTGTTTTGCAAAATGTTTTTTTTCATGATAATTTCTCTGAAAAGTAAAAACGATCAAAGGCCGTCTTCAAATAGTCTACTGTAGCTGGTGTAAAATCTTAATAATTAAACTAAATAACACTACTTATGATTATTCATTATACTAATCAGAATCAATTTTTAGGGTTATTAGCAAGATTACTCTCCATTTCCTCAAGTTTTTGCAAAGTCACAGACTTTAAGGGTAATATCTTTGGCTTGCAAAGAATTTCACTTAATGCAGCTTTCTCACTATAAACTAATCCAGCCTTGGGCATGATCTCCTTTATCTGTTATTTTTCTGGAACTGGATTACTTCTCTCCATTTTTATCAGAATTTAAGTTTAATTTTGTTTATTAATCTCTGCAGTTTAATTTGAAATCAGCCAAGAGGGGTTTTGGGGTTTTGGGGTTTTGGGG